TGACCACCCGTGGGACCAGTGACCACCCGTGGGACCAGTGACCACCCGTGGGACCAGTGACCACCCGTGGGACCAGTGACCGCCCACGGGACTGCTGACCACCCGTGGGGTGATGGACACTGGCCACTGACCGCCCATGGGACCAGTGACCATTCAATGGGACCACTGACCATTAACAGGGACCACTGACCATTCAATGGGACCACTGACCATTCAATGGGACCACTGACCATTCAATGGGACCACTGACCATTCAATGGGACCACTGACCACCCATGGGGCCACTGACCATTCAATGAGACCACTGACCATTCAAAGGGAACAGTGACCACTCAATGGGACCAGTGACCACTCAATGGGACCACTGACCACTCAATGGGACCACTGACCACTCAATAGGACCACTGACCATTCAATGGGACCAGTGACCACTCAACGGGACCAGTGACCAGCCATGGGACCGCTGACCACTCAATGGGACCAGTGACCACTCAACGGGACCACTGACCACTCAACGGGACCACTGACCACTCAATGGGACCAGTGACCAGCCATGGGACTGCTGACCCCTCACAATGACCACTAACCATTCAATGGGACCACTGACCACGCACAAGGACCCCTCACCACCCGTGAGACCACTGACCACTCAATGGGACCACTGACCACTCACAATGACCGCGGACCACCCATGGGACCAGTGACGACCCGTGGGACCGCTGACCCCTCACACTGACCACTGATGGGACCACTGACCACCTGTGGGACCGCTGACCCCTCACACTGACCACTGATGGGACCACTGACCACTGATGGGACCACTGACCACTAAATGAGACCACTGACCACCTGTGGGACCACTGGCCCCTCACACTGACCACTGATAGGACCACTGACCACTGATGGGACCACTGACCACTGATGGGACCACTGACCACTGATAGGACCACTGACCACTGATAGGACCACTGACCACTGATAGGACCACTGACCACTGATGGGACCACTGACCATTCAATGAGACCACTGACCACTGATGGAACCACTGACCACTGATGGGACCACTGACCAGTGAATAAGACCAGTGACCACTCAATGAGACCACTGACCACTCAACAGGACCACTGACCACTCAACGGGACCACTGACCATTCAATGGGACCACTGACCATTCAATGGGACCAGTGACCACTCAATGGGACCACTGACCATTCAATGGGACCGCTGACCACTAAATGAGACCACTGACCATTCAATGGGACCGCTGACCGCTCAATGGGACCACTGACCACTCAATGGGACCACTGACCACTAAATGAGACCCCTGACCACTCAATGGGACCAGTGACCGCTCAATGGGACCAGTGACCGCTCAATGGGACCAGTGACCACTCAATGGGACCAGTGACCACTCAACGGGACCACTGACCATTCAATGGGACCAGTGACCGCTCAATGGGACCAGTGACCGCTCAATGGAAGCACTGACCACTAACAATGACCACTGAACCCCCCCAGTGACCACTGAACCCCCGGGAGCACCGGGAGGGAGCACCGGGAGCTCCGAACCCCGCGGGAACGCGCCCCGGGCCCGCACCCGGTGGCCACCGCTGGCCGCGGACCCCCGGCGGGCTCGGGATCCGGGGGGGTCAGCACCGAGCGCCCCGGGACCCCCCCGGGGACCCCCCCCCAACCCCCGCCGCTCCCGCCAAATCCCCGCCGCGAGCTCCCCCCGGCGCCGCCATCTTGGAGCGCAACAACGGCGGCGGCCCCGGGCGCGGCCCCCGAGCGGCGGCGGTGGCCCCGGGGCGGCGCGGGGGGCGCGGGGGGCTCGGGGCGGGCGGGGGCGGCCGGCGGGAGCGGCCGATGGGCGGCGGGGGCGGCGATGGCGGCGGATGCGGCTCCGGCCCGGGCCAAACTCACCCCGAACGCTGCGACCGCCGCGACCGAGAGGGCGGGGCTTGAGCGTCACTTCCGGTCCGGGCCCCGCCGAGGCGCGCGCGCGCGCCCGCCGAGCCCCGCCCACCGCCCCGCCGGGGGCTGCCCTCGGCGATCGCCTGAACGCGCGCGAGGCCCCGCCGCCGCTCCCGGGGCTCCTCCGGGGCTCTCCCGGGGCTCTCCCGGGGCTCCCCCGCTCCTCCCGCAGCTCCCGCCGACCCCTCCCCGCCGCCCCCGCCTCCCGCCGCGCGCAAACCCCCGCTCAGGCGGCGCCGCGGACAGCCCCGCCTCGGGGGTCCTCAGGGAAAGCCCCGGCTGAATCCCCGCCCGCCGCGTCGCCATGGCGACGGTTCCCGCCACCGCCCGGCCGCGCCCCCGAGGATGACGAAACGCGGGTGTGAACCAATGGGTTTATTCCGCGCCCGGAAGGGGCGGGGTCAGGGATCGCCCGCCAGGCTGATGGTGGCCAATGAGACGCTCTCGGTGGAGAGGCTCCGCCCCTTCTCGTAGATCAGGTACACCAGGGGGGCGGAGCCTTGGTCCTCGGGGGGCGGGGCCGCCAGCGCCGAGTACCCGCTGGGCCCCGCCCACACGCGCAGGCCACGCCCCCACCACGTGGTGCCGTTGTCGAAGCTCCAGCGCAGGGTCAGGTTCACGCCTGGGGGCGGGGCCGCTCGGGACACGCCCACAAAGGCCACGCCCGTCCCGGCCACGCCCCTAAAACGAAGCCCCGCCCCCTGCACCCCCCCCAAGGGGGACCTGGGGACCCCCCACAGCTGGGAGAGCTCCGGACAGACGAACCCCAGTGTCCACCACGGTGTCCATCAGTGTCCATCAGTGTCCATCTGTCCATCCCAGTGTCCATCAGTGTCCATCTGTCCACCCCAGTGTCCATCCGTGTCCATCTGTCCATCCCAGTGTCCATCAGTGTCCATCTGTCCACCCCAGTGTCCATCTGTCCACCCAGTGTCCATCAGTGTCCATCTGTCCACCCCAGTGTCCATCTGTCCATCCCAGTGTCCATCAGTGCCATCAGTGTCCACCAGTGTCCATCAGTGTCCATCTGTCCATCCCAGTGTCCATCTGTCCATCCCAGTGTCCATCAGTGCCATCAGTGTCCACCCGTGTCCACCCAGTGTCCATCTGCCCATCCCAGTGTCCATCTGTCCACCCCAGTGTCCA